CCATCTTATCATCCATTTCATAACGCACAAAGATCCGTTACTGTCACACCATCATATGATAATCATCACCAAAAAGAACATGAAATCTATTCATCTATCCATGCTAATTTCGAATATACACTCTACTCAGCGATTCGATTTTAATGAAGCGTCGAAAAACTGCGAAAACCAGGGAAAATTACTAAAAATGCCACTTTGGGGGCTTTCGGCGTTTCGGACGGAGTTTTTGAATGCTATGTTAGAAATTTTTTCTTATTGGATAGATTGGTTCGGAAAGGTTCCTGCTATTGATTACACGTCTCAAACCTGAAAAATCGATACTCCGTTTCCCTCAAATTCCAAAGTCTTCTAGAAAACTCGCCAAAACCCCATGAAGATTCGCTCAAAAACTTTTGTATCCGTCACATGATTTACTTGCCCCATATATGTCTCTTGAATACAAAAAATCACAGACCTCTAGCTACTCGCGTTCCCCAGCTATTCCACTCACACTGATCGTCTCTTCTATTTTGAAATAGATAGTAGAAAGAACTATTAAACACATACAGAGATCGATAGAGATATATGAACATATTTTTTTGTACAAGAAAGCATGTTAACAAACCAGAATGCGTTTAGTTAGTCTTGAAGATTTTGGTTACCTAATACCATACATGATTACGTAACTGCCACCTACCATTGTCATATTCAGCAATTATAGTTGCTAAAAAGTCATATTTACTAACACGTTTATAAAATGTATCTGCATTCGTTTTTATCCCTTGTAGAGCATCTGTTAAAGCAATGAGTCCTGGTGCATGTGTCACAATTAACACATTAGCACCAGGAGATGAATAACGATCCATAATACCCTTCATAACAAATCGACTACGATTAAAATATACTTCAAGTGTTTCGGGTACAGTCACTTTTGGCATTATCGGTTGATAGTCACTTTTAATACGATAACCATTGTCTAATAATTCTTGAGGTGTCATAAAACTATCAGTTAAATGAGCATTAAAATGTGGGCATTCGAACAGACCTGGTTCAACACGAATCTGAACGCGTTCTCGACGTTTCATACCCATTAGCAAGCGCTCACATGTTTGAATACAACGAAGAGCAGACGATGTTAAACAGATAGTGGACGCTAGATTACTATGCGCCATTGTTTGACCAGTTAATCGAGCAAGGTGCAAACCACGAACTGAAACAAATAAACATTATTATTATCATAGTGGTTAAAATGAAACGTAAGGCTCATACCTGTCAAGGGTGGGTCAAACCTGAACGCTTGAAAACGTTGTCGTTTTGGTAAAAACTTTGGTAGATTCATATCATATGGATGATAGACACCTGTTCGTTGATCAAATGCTCGTAAAAACCAGTCTGGGCCGAGAGCTTGATTTGCCCGTTCACTATGTCTCACAAATATTATTCTCATTTGTGGTGTGGTGCTGCGTATAGGAAAAAGATTTTGAATCTGACTTTTGACTTGCTGCTGATGTTGGTGTTCATTCGCATCATGTAAAACTGACGCTGGTGGACGAACCATAGTTGATAGCGTAGTTTTTGCTACGAACGGTGTATGAACAATGTTTGTTGCAGGAATTTTTCGACTATTTCGAATATGTTTACGAATATTCTGGTGTACAGGGATAGATGAATAGATTTCATGTTCTTTTTGGTGATGATTATCATATGATGGTGTGACAGTAACGGATCTTTGTGCGTTATGAAATGGATGATAAGATGGCACTTGGGGCGACAATATTGGATCTACACCATATCGGCCCGGTATTTGAAGTGATGCTACTGAGTCATAGTGAGATGTTAATTGCTGCTGCTGTTTCCGATAATTGGTATCACCATCGGTATCATACGTATCCAAAGCTATATGCTGTTTAGTGGAAAGAGGAAGATGAGTCATACCGCCAAGCGTGGTGTGATCGATAATGTTAGTTGTCGGCGTTTGTTTTCGTAACTCTATTCATACTTTTCAATAGCTAATAGCTATACTTTATCTCCTCTTTTTCAGGATATAATAATGATAGTTACATATAAAAATAAAAATATTATTGTCACAGTTCATTGATTTATGGCTGTATGTGTCATGCATACTGCGATGATGACGTATTTTTTTATAAAGAAGAACGGTACAATAGGTAAAAAGCAGAAAGAAAGTTTCACTACGGAAGTGCGATGCAATATATAGTAAAATTTGATCGTGTTGTCCATTGAGAGTCGTTCTAATTTGCAAAAAATTGATTGTCTCAACGATATTTCAAAAGGAAAGGGCGTGGAATAATAGGAAAATTTTCGTAGGTTTTACACAACAAGTAGCTGTAAACAAATAAACGAAACAAAAGAATACTAGTTGTAAAATGCATAGGTCAAATTGAAATAGACATATGTTTTGCTACTATCTGACGTTTTATTCATGGTTTGGTTTCAGGCATTGTTGACAGAGATCTGGCAGGTCTAATTTTTGAAATTATTATTGTTATTGAATTAGATTTTATTAATAATGTTGTGCGTTGAAAGGTATAATTTCGTTGGCTTTGACAAGAAACATTGTAAGTAAAAAACGCGTCCCTCAACTAGAAGTCGAATGCAGGACACAAATGATAACTGTTTAATTATCGAGGTTCATTATGTATATATATATATGAGGAAACAGCAGTTTATTATTAATAAACCTGAAAAAAAAAAGCATATACAAGCTGACTGATAACCGAAGTCTTTGGTCAGAGAACAATACAACGAAAAATAATAAGTTTACAAATATAATAAAGTGTGTAGATTTTCCATCGTGATATTGTCCTCGTAAATTTCTGCTCGAAGAAGAGCTCTTTCAGTTAAGTGTTCGCTATTTTCTTTTAGCCTTGGTATTCTACTTTGTTGATGTATATGAGCTAATCGTAACTTTTTTGTACGGTTATTGAAAAAAAACGAAAGTGTTCCCCAAAAAAATCTGAGTCGTACATTTTGTAACCCACACTTCACTGAGGCCCCACAAAAAATTTTCCAACTACCAGACGCGAACTGGCTGAGATATTTCAGTAACAAGGTCGGTTTCTAGCGCTCGACAGGATTTCAACGGAATCTATGCAAAATACTCGCCAGAAACAAACTTATGACATACCATTCGACT